ATGGTCTTACTCTTGGTATTTCTAGTTCTTTATTACTGAGATTTCCTTCACCCTTAAACTCATTTAAAAGGCTAATTTGCACAACAAACAAATTGTGCAAAGCATCGTGGACATTGTGGTATATATGCATCCTGTTGTACCGTATGCTTTGAAAAACAGCTTCAACTTTAATTAGGACAAAACTATAGATTCTAGTTCCCAATGAGGGCAAAAATTGTTTTGTTTTGCCCTCCAGATGAAGCCACTTTGACATCACATGCAGAGTCCATGCTTTGAATCATAGCGGCCATCTTGGAGGAACTTTAACAAAGGATTTCTCAGTAGTATCTATTGTCCATTCCTCCAACATATCCGCCATTCTTTTATATTTTGAATCTCATGGGRATGGTTGAAAACGATCAATACGTTCAGCTTTACCCCCCTTAATTTTTATTGATACTTTCATCATCACCATGATGCACTTCGTCAAAATACATATAAGGTCATTAGGCTACACGGCCATTTAAGCCATTTTTAGATGTTATTTTTAAAAAAAATGAACATGTTTTACATCTACAACCATTTAGTTGTTATAGCTATTCAGCTTTTGGAAATCGCATTTCATGGGTGTTTTAAAACTAACATTGGAATATTATTAAAGCTTATAGCATGCTATTCCTGGCGTTACTTTAAATATAAGAAWGCCTTGTGTAGATTTGTAATTCCTTTTGAGATTAGTAAACGTWAGACGCCATTTTATATAGCAAAGCATGATTGTAGTTGTAGTCCTTGCACATCATTTCATAACCTAAATTATCTCCTTGAAAGCCGTTTTTACACTGATTTTCTATTCACGAACGGCACAAATACTTCTATTTTCGCTTAGGCAAAGAAAAAAAAATACTCGTTAAGAGGATTTGTTTAGAAGACATAAAAAAATAAGAGAACTACAACTACCATCATGCTTTGCTGCACAAAATGGCGTCGCTGCACATTGCCTATTGGCACTAATTGCATAACAAAAGAAAGTGGGCAAASCATTCTGGTAGYTGTAGTTAATGAAGCCATACTATACAAATCACCTATAATCAGAGAAAGTTGAATTTTATGCCATTCAGTATTAGCATTTTTCCATGTGCATCTTGTACAACTCGTACTTTACATGTGTCTCTYATTACAAGGTCACCCATTTCTCTGTTCAACCTCTATTCAGCGGTCAACCTGCGTTAACCGTCCACTTTGAAAGGTTAAATGCAATATTATTATTATGCAATATTAACTAATGTGTCATCATTGAAGTCATCGTCGTTGCCTTGTAGCAGGCCGTGGTGTGAAGCGAGGGCCTGGGTAGCTAGGTATTTCTCTCTCTTAATGGTTTCTTGCAGCCCCTGAGGCACGTCGGGAACCATGACGTCAATAAGTGTACAAACACCAAATACGAAGTGCTGTAAAAAAAAATAGAAAGACGCTATGCCTCTTTTTATAGTTGCGACGCCATTTTGTTCAAATAACAGGATGGAAGTTGTAGTCCTAAATCTTTTTGCTGCCCCGACAAAATTTCCCTAAGAGTCGTTTTTTGTTTGTTGGCTTATTTTCTTTGTAGAATCAGTACAGCTACTACAGCTTCCGTTTTTAATTACGAAATAAAACCGCTCCGAGAGAGTTTGGGCCAGAGAAACCGTCCTAAACTCTATACAACACTATCCAGATCAAATCTCCATGTGAAAAGAAGCAGTATAATTTTAATTATTAATTCCTGTTGAATTTRCATGAATCTATAGCCTGACATAGCTAAAGCTATATGGGATTGTGCATATTCAGTGAACTGTTCAGATATCTCTCATACTTATAGTTGTGTCTTCCATTGACTGTAATTGCAAATGGGAACATAATTAATATTCTTGACCAGTCTAAAGTAAACGAGATGAGAATGCACAAGGTTTGAATAGAGTAAAATTTAGTTATCAATGATTGTGTCTATGTATGTGATCTTATCCTGAAAACCAACTCACTTTCACTGACCTTGAATAGTTATTACAATTGCACACCAGACACTTGTCTCTCCATGTTCTCTCCGCCACAATTAGGACAATTCCCATTTTTGAATGGTAAATGTCTCACTGTAATATACAAATAAATGTGTTTTAAAATTTTGTTAAAATGCAGCAAATATTCTGTAGTGTATAATATAATTATATTAACCGGAAACTAAAAGTGCTACGCGATATGACAACAACATCAGAAGAGGGTTTCCAACAATTATTGTTTACAATTCAACACAAAAAAATAAGATCTTTGGTCTTTTGCGTAGTGTACCGTCCGCCGGACGTACCGCTGTCCACACGTTCTGATGTTTTTGCTCCAGCCTACTCACAAGCAGCTACGTTTGGCAAAGACATCATTATTCTTGGCGATATGAATTGCGACATGCTTGCTCCCGAAAAACCAGAATATAAAGCTCTTAAGAGCTTGTGCACTCTACTAAATCTGAAACAACTGGTCTTCGAGCCTACCAGGGTGACTGCAACATCAGAGTCACTCATTGAAGTAATCCTTACTTCCAACGAGGACCTTGTTAAAAATTGTAATGTATTGCACACTACCATCAGTGACCACTTCTTGGCTTCTTGCGTGCTTAACCTGAAACGTTCAAAGATCTAATCCACCTGTTATATAACAACTCGCAGCTACAAAAACTTTGACCCTAAGGCTTTCTGTAAGGATATTTCATCTGTTCCTTGGAATACAATCAACATCTTTGACCACATTGATGACCAAGTGTCAATGCYCAAMATTTTGTTTCTGGAAGTTCTTGATCAACACGCCCCCATAAAGACATTTAAGGCCAAACATAGAAAGTCAAGGGTGATCACTCCTGAAAYAAAAGACCTGATATCACAGCGAGACTCTTTGCAGAAGTTGGCGCGCGAGACAGGACAGTCAACTGACTGGGACACATAC